CCCGCGGCGGAGCCGCACAGGCGCGGGGCGGGGCGGACCGCAAGGACGGTCTCGTTCCCGGGGAAGCGGACCGTGACAGCGCCGGGCCGCTGCAGAGCGGCCAGGGTTCGCGAACCGTGCGGGATGCCCGTCCCCGTGCTGGAGTGAGGCCTCCTCGGGGTCTGCGCACAGCTCTGGGACCCCAGAGGCACGCAGAAGTACAAAGCAGCGCTGAAGTTACCGGCGGTTCCCAGCACTTGCACATGCCCACGGAGGAGCTAAATATAACTCCGCACAAGTAACTCTCCGTGTGACAAGCTTCTGTTTTGTTTTTTTTTTTTCCTTCCTGGGCGCTTTCTGGTGGGGTAAGGTGCATTTCAGCATGTTTGGACCACTGGCTGCTGGTGTCACCCTGCACAGAAACTCCACTGCTCTTTAGACCTGCCCTGGGGAGCTGATGTAGATTCTGTTGTTTGGTTTCAGGACCATCATCCATCCCAGCAAAACCAGAGTGGATTACATGGCATTTATTTGCGAGCCTTCTGCACGGGTCTTGATTCAGTGCTGCAGCCATATCGACAGGCACTGCTTGACCTAGAACAAGAGGTAAAGGAGAGAGACTTGCAACAAGAGGCTGTCCTGCTGCTGAGAGGTTGTGGAAAGTTGTCATTTCTGCAGTTAATATGCTAAGTAGCAGTAGCTAAAGAGGAGACAAGCTATTTTCCTTTCCACATCAGGGATGTCTTCCAAATTATTCCTTGAGGTGCCATTGTAAATGACTCTTCATTCTAATAAGTATTAAGTCTCCTCTGCCTTCAATTCAGCATGTCCCACCTGCCTCAGAGCCCAGTGCTGTCTCAGACTATTGTGACTTCTGTTCAGAACGATTAATCTCCGCCAGATTAGCAGCTGTCATATGTTGGGTACCGTCACCATCCAGTCCTTGTTATAGCCTAAAAGGGGACACAGCGCAAAAACGTATGGGGGGGGGGGGGAAAGCAGTGGGAACCAAAGGTTTGGAATATAGAGCCAAAGGTGCTTTTTTACTTATCCATACCTTATTTTAATTTTCATTAATTGCTTTGTTGTTCTTACAGTTTCTGGCTGACCCGCATCTTTCCATCTCACATGTTAATTATTCCTTGGACCAGGTATGTCATGTTAACAAACAGGTAGTGCTCTTTGGTTACTCTTACCATTCCTTGAGTCTATAGGAAAGTGGGTGGGATAAATAAGGGTTAGTCTGTCATGTCATGCCATTTCTTTTTAACGCCTCCACATTTGTAGTCCCTTAATCACGCTCAGAGAATCACTTGCACTTTGACACAAAGCTTAGGTCCTCCACCTTGGCGGTCGCATATTCCTCACTGCCTGTGTTTAGCCTGAACTGCAGCTGGAACACAGTAACTTTGTGCGTCTCGGTTCAGTGGAGGGAGGACATTCTTCCTAGAGATTTTCATGTCATGTTTCTAATTTGTGGGGAAAGCCAGACGATAGTTTCATTAAATTATTGTAATCAGCTGCTGTCCACACTTACTCGTGTATAGTTTTTCTCTCTCCCTTGCATAGCAACCTAATTCAATATTTTGCTCCTTGTTCTGTAGTTCCAGTTACTCTTCCCCTCTGTGATGGTCATGGTGGAACAGATCAAGACTCAGAAGGTACAGTAAAATTGTAGCTAGTTTCTCTTAACAAGTTTCCTCTTTAGCTGATAAAGTTATTTCTGCCGTCATCCCAGACCTTTAATACTAGGAAAGAATGTGGTTTCGGTAACGGGTGCCCTATTCCTAGTGCTACTGTAAGTATTGAGTAACTATTTTGCAAATCCATTTACACTGGATTTGGCTTTTTCATTATCAGTATGATCTTTGATGACTTGCATTTTATAATTGCAATACACTTCATAGTACGAGATGCTGCTGGTTGGAATTTCTTCTTTTCTGAGTCTGTTTTCTCCCACCATCCCCTGAAAAAAAAAAAAAAGGCAGAAGCTAATGTTTTCAGACTCCAGAGACACTTTTTGTTAAATAGAAGGCCTCTTTCTTCACTACAGGGAGCATGTTACATCTTTCTTTCTGTAAGACTTGTGCAGCTTGTTAAGGCATTTTCTTGTTAGCCGAAAACATAGTGTTTAAATGTCTGAAAAGGTCAGTACAGATCCAAATAACAGACCTAGTCTAACCATGTTTTCTTTCTGCAGATTCATGGGTGTCAGATATTGGAGACAGTCCACAAGCATAGCTGTGGGGGGTTGCCTCCTGTTCGCAGTGCTCTTGAGAAGTATGTAGATACAGTAAAGCTGTTATTTCATTCTTCTGTAGTAACTGGAGTTAGTGTCAAAGTGTTCATCTTACTCATGAAAACAGTACATGCAAAACAGGCTTACATGATATAAAAGTAGGAGTAGCACGCAGGAAAAACTGTCACAGTCCCCATTATTTATCTAAAGCAGACTTACGGCAGGAATTAAGGCTTTCTCCAGTCTTTGGACTTAGGGCTGAGGAAAGTTCAGACCCTATGTTTTTTCTTCTTTTGAGATCTACATGAACTGTTTTGCACATGGCAGACCTGTTACTGTTTTTTGATCCTTCAAAAGGATAAATGCGACTGGGTGAGTGCTGCTAGGTTTGTGTGTCCTTGCGGAGAAAGTCAGACTACTTAAAAGATAATTTCTGTTCGTGCTGAAATGGTAATTGAGTAGAAACAGCAGGGCTGGGAAGCCACTGCAAACTTAGTTATACTTCTGGTATACTAGCAGATCTCTGAGGAGAAGCCACATATTCAGAGGATATGTCAGTGTAGCTTTGCAAGTGATTGGTCCACCTTTCTCTGTTTAAAAAAAAAAGAGAAAAAAAATTCCACGTTAGCCATTAAACAGTTGCCGTATTGCCTGGCTGACTGACTGGACTTTCCAGAACGATGTACAATGAGGTTCTGATTACTGTGTGCCAAGGCCCCACTGTCTGTTTCTCTTGACCTCAGGATTCTGGCTGTGTGTCATGGAGTCATGTATAAGCAGCTCTCTGCCTGGATGCTGCATGGATTGCTCCTAGACCAACATGAAGAGTTCTTCATCAAACAGGGCCCCTCTTCTGGGAATGTCCCTAGCCAACCCGAAGAAGATGACGATGACCTAGGAATTGGGGGACTTACAGGAAAACAGTTACGAGAACTGCAGGACCTGGTAAGACTACAAGTCATAGCTTGGCACCCTTCAGTCCTTAGGGAACTAAAGAAGAAATATATTGTCTTCTGCTTCAGGGTGAGCTGTGCTAGACTGGACATATATTGAGACCTGGTAGGAGGGCAGATCAAGAGAATATTGTAATACGTTGCAGCTAGGCATACAGAACAGAGACAAATCGTTTGGCACAGTTGGATAATCTCAGGGCAGAAAGCCCTATGGATGGAATCTGTGTGGACGCTGATGTCAAGTAATTGGAACTGCTGTACTCGCCCTGCTCTTGACTGACTTTTCTGATTCCTTATGGTCAACACTGTGATCTGCTCAACATAGGCATTGGTGGTAGTGTGAGCAATTGCAAGGGAAAGGGTGTGGGGAGCTTGGGTGTTGACTTTATTTGCACCCTTTCTATTGGCAGCTGGGTCAGGTACCTTTCTTGCACAACTGTTTGTTGTGCAAATGTTACCTAACAGAGTAATACTACTGACATTACTGGGGAAAAATGTGCTATGCAAGAGTCAAGAGGCTGCTAGGAACGTGTCCAGGCTGCTAAGCTAAGCACGGGAGCAACCTGCCAGTATGCTGGTGAAATGCAGTAACTCCTCATGTAGATGGCATACCGTTAGAGTGCCCTTGTGCAAGGCAGCCTTCTCAATGGAGTAATCTTCCACGCTTTGTGCATCTGAATAGTGTTTGCATCAGGGACCAGTGAGGAGCAAGTACAGGTCTGTCAATTCACACTCTAGTTTACTGTGAGAAAACATTTCATGGGCAGCCATGGCGTTAGCGTGCTGCGTGCAGCTTGGCTGTGAACACACAGAAGATTCACCCCTGAAACACCCTGCATTGCATACTAATTAAGTGCCCTGTACAAACACTCCAAAACAAGGTACACACAGGCAAAACCAAGGGAACACTTTAAAAGCCAGTTAGTGAAAAATCTGTTATTTCACTCTATCGGATACAGGAAGAATGTGAAAATTGGTGAGTCTTCTAGATCCATGGTGGAAAATGTAGGCATTAAGAAGATGACACCAAGAGAGCCTAATTAACTCTCTTCTTCAGTATTATTGACTAACAGTGTTGGCAATTCTTCAGTCAGAGAGTAAAATAAGAAATCCTGAGTGTTGATGGGATAGACCGATAAAACACTTGGGTATTTCCTCATCTAAAAGTGTCAGAAGAATCTTAAGAAAAGAATTGCCAAGCTGTTAATGTCAGTATACAAACTTGTACTGAACTCTCCTATTAAAATGAAGAATTCTGTAGGTGGCAAACGTTCTCAAAAATCTGTTAGCATGGTGTTTTTTGGATTATGGACTAATGAACCTAATTCTCCAATAACAAGAAAGCCAACTGAAATAATCAGTATTGCTTCTCTGGAGGAAAATCTTGCCTCTGCACTTGGAGTTCTTTCTTAATACATTCAGAAAAAAATGAATAACTTACTGTATTGTTTTAAACACCTTTCGCAGGCACCGAGAAAATTGCCTAATTTATGCTAGCAAGCCTTCAGATCTTTAACCTATTTGCTCACTAGTGGAGGTATCTACATTTGGCCCGTATCCCAAGTGTTCTAGCAGTGTTAAAACATATTGGAACGGGTCTAGGGGAGGATTATTTTTGGTAATGCTAATTAACATTGTTAATGGCTGCAAAAAAACTAATGTAATGCAGTTGCAACAAAAATTGCTTTTGCTGAGTAACATTATCCTTTGGGAGAGCCAATTTCCTGCTATTCCACAAAGGTTTCGCTTCTTTTCCCACTTCTGCTCCCCTCTCTGATGAAAGCAACATCTTCTCTAGGGAGATCTGCTAGCGTACCAGAAGCATAAAGAAGTTTGCAGGCTTACTTAAATGATGCAGATTGGGTTTGCTACCTTTCTGCTTGCTTCCGATGTACTTGGATTCCCCCTCCCACACATCCCACACCCCTTTATACACCTTTTCTGTCTGGTTTTCTCACACTTTTTTTGCTTGATTTCTTTTCCCTGGGGTCTCTGACAGCGCTTGATTGAGGAGGAGAACATGTTAGCTCCATCTCTAAAACAGTTTTCTCTGCGAGTAGAAATGCTGCCGTCATACATTCCTGTGCGGGTTGCTGAGAAAATCCTCTTTGTGGGAGAATCTGTACAGATGTTTGAGAATCAAAATGTTAACCTGACCAGAAAAGGTAAGGAACATCTTTCTTGCAGCCTTTGCTCAGTTACGAGTGACTGACAAGTATCTTCCAAAACGCTGTATTAACGCATTCCGCAACAGTCACTGACTATTGGCTGATATTCTTCAGAACATATGGATGGTTGTGCCAGGACAGAGCACTGGTCCCGGTATTCTGCTTCTGATTGATTCCAAGGAAGCAGTATAGGAATAGGATGAGTAAATAATAATGCTTTCCAAACATAGTCTCCAAGTTTCCAGCAACAAGCCACCATGTGATCTGCTCTGGATAAATAACGCAACTGCAAAGGTCGTGTTTTCTTTTCAGTTTGCATCCCTGTCCCTGAAGGGTGCAGACAGACACAAGGGCACATCTTGGTCTGAGCATATATGTTGCAGAATAGTGTCATGGGATTAAAACGCATCCACAAACATAAGAGATTCATTGCAAGGTTGTCCCAAAGGTTGCAGTGGAAGACAAATGATCAAGATGGAGCCTTTAAGAGAGGGACAATTCCAGCTGATGGCTCTCTTAGAGACACTGTTAAGTTTACATTGGCGATGGTTTTGGAAATATATTCCTACACCAACTGGGGAGGACTACTGCAGAGGCTCTATCTTGAGCTTGTCTATGCAAAAGTACTCAAATGACTTGAGGGACATTGCAGAGAACAAAGGGCCAATTAAATTGGACTGTTTTCTTGCCTTAGGAGAAACGAGGTGAAAAGAAATTGGTCTTCTAGCTTAGTTGGTTAAAAAAAAAATCCCCAAGTTCAAGCAGTAGGATAGATTTGAAAGGGGTGGGGGAGTAGGTGGAGAACCAAACCAACTGGTTAATATGGCAGAAAAGTTGTGGGTTCAAAGATCTAGCTCAGTCCTAGGAAAAGGCAATCACTTACACAGAAAATATTTGGGGTTTTTACTGATACCACAGCACTGCCATGTCAAGTGTTTATCCTGTAACTGTATTTGCAATAGTAATCTTGTACCTTGGTACTTGTACTTTGAGGCCTCCTCAGCTTCAGATTCCTCGCCAGACCTGAGATGGTGCTGCCTGGACAGCCTTTCTGCCCCACTGTGCTGGAAGGGGGCTGCACTTCTCCAAATGGTATTCCTTCTTATTGTCCAAAATGCTTTTCTCATTGCTCCGCAGGCTCCATCCTAAAAAACCAGGAAGACACTTTTGCAGCAGAGCTACATCGACTCAAGCAGCAACCGC